CCAATAACGTTTTAGCAAAATTAAACCGAGCAACAATGTGGCATGGTTTGTGAAGAGGGGTTCATCGTGGTCAGTTTCCATACAACCCATTTCTATTTAAACAACGTTGTATTGTGCGAGTACTTACGTATGATATCCATCGTATCCAAATATTTGGCGATATCTTTCAAAACAACTCTTGGGTTTATATCAACCTGGCGACACACTTTTCGCGCAGATTTTGGTGACAATTTGGGTTTCTCCCAGGCCCAAACAAATTCTCTATCGTTCCGAACTATTTACACTTAACGTCTTTATAACGGACCGTACTGTAGAACTAGGGATAGGTAACCTGTTTGAAATAGTTTTGAAACTATTTCCCGACTTGTGGAAGTTAATAATTCTGTCTCATGTCAACGCTAAGCTCCACTGTCTTCCCCATCCTGTTGGTAACGTAAGAATAAAAATGGTGACACTATGCACCACGTGATAATCTTTGCTGGGAATATCACAAATATTCGACTGGATATAGTGTAGAAGTCTTCACCGATAAAATAATTATGTAAATTAATTATACTTACAAGATTCAATCAATTTAAAATGATATTTTTTACTATACGAATAGTTTTGTTTTTTTTTCTTATTTAGCATAATTCGCTCGTCAAATTTGTCGTATTTAACCTAATGTTCTGAAAATTGAGTTTTATATTCCTTTTTGCGTGCTTATTAACATATAAAATCCTCGCATATATATATATATATATATATATATATATATATATATATATATCGTCATCATCATCTCCTTGACATGTTGAATATATATATATATATATATATATATATATATATATGTGTGTGTGTGTGTGTGTGTGTGTGTGTGTGTGTGTGTGTGTGTGTGCCATCTTTACTCCATTTTTGATGTTAATACAGCAAAAAAAGATTAAAATATTACACAAACAAATGTTAGAATTGCAAAACAACAAACTCATTACAACTCAGCCTGGATTAAAAATATTGCTCAAAGCAGAAATCATAAAAACTAGGAATAACCATATAAGAGACAGCCAACTTTTAAACAAAGAATTAAAAAAAGAAGCATATAAAGCACTTAGAGGAAAATATTATAATTAGGAAGATTGATAATTTCAATATTTTTCCAAGAGGAATCAGTGTAGCTTAAAAAAAATCACTGTACAATAAACTTGGAAAAGAAAAGCAGGGCACAACACATGAATGTATGCAACACGGCAGTCGATTCAGAAATTATTCCGTTCGGGTGAACACGTTTCGGTAATATTGTTCCAGAACCGAAATTTTTTTCACTAACCGAGGCATTTTCATCTCGAATTTTCTTTTCGAAAACCGATTTGTTCAACATGTGAGACGTGCGAGAATCGAGTTTACTCTGTACTAACAATCAACAAACAACATTAAATTCTTACATTGACCCCACATGCAGCACACTATCACGTAGGTTAACTTGTCAAATCTTAGTGCAATTCGGGATCATATAGATGAACATATGATAAAGAGACAATAATATTAACATGAGACAAATTTTCGCTGACAACACTAAGATTGTCTACGAGGACATAGTGCGAAAAAAACACTTCAACCTCTGGAGGCTGTTGTAATAAATGAGAAGACAACATTGAATAATGTGTCTTTCTATATTGAAGCATGTTCGAAAGCAAAAACAAAAATAACGCCCAAAAAAGTTTCAGTTTCACTGTTTATAAGACATCACATTGTGTGTATGGAAATCGACTCCATTAAATGTTTGAAACGGATCCTATCAAACGTGATAACGCCTGAATTAAAAGCAAGTTGCGTAACTGCACACAGAACAATCTTTGAAAACGTATGAAGAGTCAGTCGAAAATACTTGGGAAATGAAATAACATAAAGCAAAAATTAATATGAAATTTGTCAAATTTACCGAGAAAACAAAACAACATTTCGTAAATTGTAAATTTCGTAAACAAAACTGATAGAGAGAATTTTGGGAAAATACTTGCTGCTTGACTACACACTTATATATATATATATATATATATATATATATATATATATATATGTATATATATGTGTGTGTGTGTGTGTGTGTGTGTGTATGAAGAAAATATACGGAAAAAAAAAAAAAAATCCTAATATGCAATTATGCTGTTTTAATGTTAATATAATGTCATCGTCGGACGTTTCGGTCTAGTATACCATCTTCAGGAGATATTCATAAAACATAATTAACATTAGACTATATTTAATTCAACATGAAAAGACGATGGACATAAGAATAAGTCTAATCAAAAGAGACAACTGAAATTCGCCTCGGTAATTTAAACAATACTTTAGTTGTACACACAACTAAATCTGATCATAATTTCGATTTTGATTCTGTGAAGATTTTAAAATATATTCATAATAAATATCTTAGGCGGATTTATGAGGCAGGCATAATATCTATCTCATGCACGGTGAATACTAGACCTGGCTTCTTTAATATTTCCCCTTTTCTAGCAAGATTAATGCTCGACAAACCTACATATAAGTTTTAGATTAAAATAAAATTCTTTTCATTTTTCATTCAAAATACTATATTTTAGGAATACGTTTTCACAACATCGCCCGCGTGACGCCGACGTGATCATATTGAAACGGAACGCTGATCTTGAAAAATTTCAGTTCTCTGTTCATGTTGAATTAAATATAGTCTAATGTTAATTATGTTTTATGAATATGTCCTGAAGATGGTCTACTAGACCGAAACGTCGGACGTTGACATTATATTAACATTAAAACAGCATAATTGCATATTAAGATTTTTGTTTGTTTTTTCCGTATATTTTTCTTCATACTGTCGGATCTATATCCATATATTTGCATATATATATATATATATATATATATATATATATATATATATATATATATATATATATGTGTGTGTGTGTGTGTGTTTTGTGTGTGTGTGTATGTATGTATGTATGTATAATCATCCCCTTGACTTTTGTAATCTTGGGGGTGGGGATCCGAATGCAGAAGTCACAATGAATCTCCTCTACAACGGTCTATCAATGGCAGCCATCAGTAGACATACTTGTCCATTGTTTGATATTGTCCATCCAGTTTTTGCGTTGGTGTCCTCTACAACGTCCAACTTTAACGGTGCCTTGCATGATGCTCTTACACCTGCCGTCGGGCATAGTAACCTGTCCAAACCCCGACATTTTTCTCTATTTCACAGGGGTGAGTAGAGCTTCCTGGTGGCCTAAAAAAACATTTCAACCCACTGTTCCCAATAGAAGATGCCAAGCAGTTTTCTCATGCATTTGTTCTCAGATGATTGGATGCTTCACTATTGTTACTGCCAACAATGCCCACGTTTCACATCCATATAGGAGAATGGAGACAACCAGCGATTTGTACGGTCAGAACTTCGTTTGAAACCTGATTTTGCTCCTCCATATTCTTGCCAATTTAGTCATGGCTGCAGCAATCTGTGCATGGATCTTATAGTTGCAGGTACCCTATTTAGACAACATTCCACCCAAGTATTTAAAACTGGAAAATTCCTCCAGTGAATTCCCGTTCATGTTAATGTTGACAGAGATGTTACAGATATCCACTAATACTTTCGATTTTTCGAAGCTGAACTCCATTCCATATACGCCTGCACTTTTGATAAACACACACACACACACACACATATATATATATATATATATATATATATGTGTGTGTGTGTGTGTGTGTGTGTGTGTGTGTGTGTATGTATGTATGTATGTATATGCACATTTCATTGAATACGACAGACAAGGTGCTTTTATTTAGTTTTTTATACAATTTCTCATGCGATCTAATAATTTCTTTTTCTTTTCGGATGACAAATTATATTACGATTATATTTTGGTAGTAAGTCTACAATAAGTAAGTATACAGTAATACAGACACACACACACACATATATATATATATGAAGAAATATATTTGGTTGGATTGATGTGAGTTTGTTCTATCTCTGATATTGAGCGCTTTCTAATATGTGCCGCGCATATAATATATAAATAATAATATATATATATATATTACACACACACACACACACACACACACACACACACACACATATATATATATATATATATATATATATATATATATATATATATATATATATATATATATACACACTTTTCTCATATATTAAAGTGTATTATATGATGGGATAAAGTGCTCAATATCATAGATAGACTCAATCGTCAGCATGAAACAACCTGTTGCATCTGAGTGTTGACTTCAATGTTCACTGATAATGATTTCACCCCAAGCAAAGCGGATATGCCACTAGTATTTAAGAGGTTACAGCGAGTGTAAGTGAAAGTGAAGAATGAATGTCGGGTGGAGATGGAGAAAAGATGAACGGGATTCAAGAAATTTAAAGATGGCGATTGATGTTGAATTAAAATTTTTGAACATTGTAGTTGTCCGTGAATCGCGTAAACGAAAGGGAGTTTCACAGTCAAGTGCGAGAAAACAAACTGTTGCAGTGGAAATGGCGCTTGCATTTTTGCTATTTCATTAGTAAAAGCGTGGGACCTAGATGCCAATCAAGTAGCACGTTTGAATTCATGTAGTCGAGGCATCAGTAATAGGAATGGATTGTTCATTTATTAATCCGAAATATTTTGATTTATTGCCTAAACGTTATTTTTTGATGGACATTTGAGCAGATGATCAACTCTAATTTATTTATTAAATAGTATATATATTTATTTCCATCTCGAATATTCAGGCCGATAGATGAAAATAAATAAATATGTTGTTTAATGAATAAATAAAAACGTGCATCTATTCAAATATTGGTATCCATTAAAAAAAAAACGTTTAAGCAATAAATTATATAATTTTTGGCATCGAACAAAGTATTTAGTAGTGTTTGTTCACAATTATCTATCGATCCATTTATCAATCAATCTATCCATATCGATCTAGCTATCTTACTCTTTGCATCCATCGAGTGCTGTTCATATCTATCTATCTATCTATCTATCTATCTATCTATCTATCTATCTATCCAATCCTGTTCATATGTATCTATCGATCTTTATTCGCATGTATCTTACTCTTATATCTATCTATCTATCTATCTATCTATCTATCTATCTATCTATCTATCTTACTGCTTGCATCTATCTACTACTGTTCATATATCTCTCTTTTTGTATCTCTTTTACACACTTTATCTATCTATCTATCTATCTATCTATCTATCTATCTATCTATCTATCTATTAACATGGTTCATCCATCTGTCTATCTATCTATCTATCTATCTATCTATCTATCTATCTATCTATCTTACTGTTTGCATCTATCTACTACCGTTCATATATATGTCTCTATCTGTCTCTCTCTCTATCTATCATACTCTTTGCATGTATCTACTACCATTCATATCTCTCCCTGTCTATCTCTTTCTCTATCTCTATCCATCTCCATGGTTCATCTATCTATCTATCTGTCTATCTTACTCTTTGCATCTACTACTACCGTTTATATCGCTATCTCTCTCTCGTACTATCTATCTATCTATCTATCTATCTCTCTATCTATCTATCTTACCCTTTGCATCTATCAGCTGCCGTTCATATCTGTCTATCTCTCTTTCTATCTATCTATCTATCTATCTATCTATCTATCTATCTACTAACGTTCATATATCTCTCTCTATCTGTCTCTATTTATCTATCTATCTTACTGTTTGCATCTGTCTACTACCGTTCATATCTCTCTCTGTCTATCTCTTTCTCTCTCTCTCTCTCTCTCTCTCCATCACCATGGTTCATCTATCTATCTATCTTACTCTTTGCATCTACTACTCCAGTTCATCTCTCTCACTCTCGTTCTATCTATCTATCTATCTATCTACGTTTATTCATTTCTATTTCAGAATGTTCCCATATCTGTACGCTAGTATTATGAGTGTGTTTTCCCTACAATAGGAACATGGGTTCATATCATGCCAACATACGCATTTTTAATCAAGATTCTTAAAATGCATCGGTCAATAGACATATATTTAATGTTTATAGATAACAGAAATATCAAACGAAATATATGTATCCACGAAATGCAATGTATGAACTAAGAAAAAAGTTTTCGTTTGACGCGTTTCGTCCTTTATAACTTCATCAGACTAACTTTGTTTATGTTGGCGCCACTACGCATGCGTACTAGACATGTGCAGTACACATGCGCACTATACATGCGCACGAACGAGAGACTCTGGGGATTCTAAATTTATTTGTTTCTAATGTGTTTTGAATATATAAACTGGCCGATTCCATTTATATTTTTGTTTGTTTTTGTTTGCATCAGCATGTGATAACAGCTCTGTTAAGAATGGTGAAATGCTTTAAGAATTTGGACGCAAATGAAAGAATTAACGATTAAAGCACTTTATAAATATTCTCATCTCAGTAAATTGTATTCGCTTTTAATTATATTTTCAATTTTATATATAAAAAAATTTGCCGTCTGTCTCGTTACAGTGAGCAACAAATGCGTTTGATCTGTTGTTTTGTAAAATATCTCTTTTAAGTTCATATAACCAAGCCACAGAAAAAGAAAATTGTTTTAAAATTCCAGCGTCTCTCGTTCGTGCCCGTGTGCAGTCGCACCAACATAACAAAAGCTTTGTCCGATGACGTACTTAGGGACGAAACCCGTCAGACAAAAAAATTTCCATTTTGTCATACATTTTTCTACTTTGTCATACATCTTCCATTGTTCTTGATATATAAAAATATATGTCTGTATCCCAATTGTCAAAGCGTAGATAAGGCACAAGGATGAAAGTATGTGTGTGTTTGTGTGTGTATGTGTGTGAGACACACACACGCATACACACACACACACACACACATATATATATATATATATATATATATGTGTGTGTGTGTGTGTGTGTGTGTGTGTGTGTGTGTGTGTGTGTGTTTGTACGTGTGTGTATTTGTGTGTGTGTGCGTTAGGGCAACTAAGCGTGGTGTAATAGTCAGCAAGTTTGTCTTGCTAAAACAGTTACAACTGAATAGTGAGTTCGATCCTCACTGGGTGACCCATACTTTCGGCCTTGTGCTACATTTAAGCTACGCTTAGAAAAAAAAATATATATATCCTGTTCGTTATGTATATATATATATTATTTTTTGTTTAAAAATATGATTCTTTCGCTACATAAGAGTTCTCATGTTTCAAAAACGAGAGCTGAAACCATCCAAATTCAATTAATTAAAATTAAGTTGAATTGAGGTGTTTAGTCCCGTTTCATCTTGAAGCGAAATTTTAGGAATAAGCTATCTCTTGGTTTACGTGTGTTTTTAGGCATGGTTCGTTATAAAATTCGTTATTGTGGGAGTGGCTAGGCTAGTTTTCTTCGTTAAGTGGTCAGAGAGTTGATTCTTATCTATAGATTCATCATCTTCTGAGAGGTTTTGCTAAAGTTGGGTAGGGTATCTATTTCAAGGCTAATGTTGGCGGTCATCCTTTAGTTGGTTCCCACTGAGGGATATTTTTATGGCGCGCCCACAAATCGTTATGTGTCGGGAGGATTGTCTTTTATTATTGTCCATCTGATTATCTATTTATTTGTTTATTCAAGTAGGTGTTTTATATACAAACCGTATTGCACTGAATTTCAATTTGTTTTTTTTTGTTTTTGTTTTTTTTTTGACGACTACAGAAAGGGTTTTTCCTATTTAATGATTTGGCTAAGCTTTTAAGACTTTTATTAAGCTAAGGGATTTTTTTTTATTCTAATTATTTAATGCGAAAGTTTGTTGATGTCGGCAAAAAACCGTTAACTCCTGCCTATGGTTTAATAATTTTTCATTATTTAGAAATTTAATCATGTAATATATATATATATATATATATATATATATATATATATATATATATATATATATATATATATATATATATATATATATCGGTTTGTATGTAGAGAGAAAGATAGGGAAAGAAAGTCATATTATTTCTTTGGAAATGTTTAGTCGAATTCTAAATTATCAATACTGGAATTGTTTATTTTTGCTGGTGTAATTAATTTTGGTAGCGTGTATCGTTGCTGTTGGTTAGTGAGTTCGATCCTCAAGGGGTGCCCCTGTACTTGCGTCCTTCTGGCAAAACTAATTATTAGCAGTATATGGAGGCTAATATTCATGTAATTGCCAACAAAATTGACTTGTAGATCATTTAATCATGAGTCCGAATGCTTATACTGTGCGCCATAATTGCGGTCTTCTTCCCAACTGAGCTAAGGAAAGTAAGTAACAAGAATACATAAACGCGATTAGATATTAATATTTGTAGAAATGTCGGGGCAAATATTTATTTTTG